AGCTAGCGGAAGCAGCAACAGAAGCACTGAGCACGCGAAGCGTGCGAATCGTGTAGCCACCACCACGTGCTGAGCACGCGAAGCGTGCGAACAGTGTAGCTAGCAGACACGATCAGTACGAGTAGCAGTAGCAGCCGCGAAGCGTGCGAATCGTGTAGCCACCTACCCTAGGCCATAGGTAGCACGAGCAGCCGCACAAGCGCTGCGGACCACGTGAACCGTTCTCTGCAAATAGAAACATCTGCAACAAAAGGATACAAAAGATCTGCACTGACTGCACTCTGCATCTGATCTGCAGTGAAGAGCGCATCGTGCAGCTACCTTTTCCACGGACCACGTGAACCGTTCTCTGCAAATAGAAAGATCTCCAAAAAATGATACAAAAGATCTACAGCTTCCTTTTCCACGTGAACCGTTCTCTGCAAATACAAAAAACTTGAAGACTTGACCTAGGCGACGCTTTGCACTTTTTCATGTTTTGAGCCGCTTCATTCGCCACCAGGTGATGGACAACCCTGACCAGCATCCCGAAGGCGTAACAGACGTCCCTCCTTCTCCTTCCAACGATGAAGAACCTCCCTCACCAGGACTTCAGCGGTCTGGGAAAAGACGCCGCCGGTCCTCATCAATAACGTCGTCCGACGATGAAGAGGCCATTGCCCGCAGACGCGAACAAGCCAGGGTTCGAATGCAGAGGGCAAGGTCACAGGAAACTGAAGAACAGGCTGATTGCCGCAGACTTCTAAATCGTCGACAAACTGCTGCGACACGATCTCAGGAGACGCATGAACGAACTCTGGAACGTAGAGACCGTGACTGCCGCCGAACTGCTGAGGCACGTTTGCATGAGACACCTGAGCAGGCAGACCATCGCGGAAGTCAAAGCCGTATGCAAGTTGCCAGAGCGAGGTCAGTACATACTTTGGAATTACGTGACAATGAAACCGACCTGACATTCCTTGCCGCTACTGCCAATCCAGACGAGGCCGACGTAGATGTCCGTACCAAAGGCACGTCCGTTGCTGGCACTGCCTGCTGCGATGATGCTCCCTTTGACGTTCCAATGGCTGTTGATGTTGATGAAGAGGAGGAGGGAGATGAGGAAGACGCTGACGACGACGATGACGACAACGACGGAGACGATAAATAATAATAATAATAATAATAATTTTTTAAAAGAGGTCGGAGGCGGATAATACTTTAAAACGAAGGTAAGTTATGGGTCGCAAATATCCACGCAAACACACATCCAGTCATAATAAGGCACTTGTCATAAGTATCCAAACGTTTTCGGTCCCTTCTCATCAAGGATTATACAGGGAATGGCTCAAGCTGGAAAGACTAAAACTTATATAGCGTAAAGATAATTAGATAACAACACTCGTGACAAGGCGGAAAATTATCAAGTTTAGCACGACACAAAACTCGAAGGAAAATAATAATAGTGACAACAACATAGTGAGCAAATTAAGTTACATTGTTACCACCTCGACGAGGAGTAACACCAAACAATTGTAGCGACAACACTACAACAACAACAACAGTTGAGTAGGAGTAGGAAGCAGATTTTGGCGCTCCCAGTTTTTCCCTAGATTTCTGCGGATTGAGGCTTACCCGGGGTACCAGACCCCAACCATGGAGCGCAACATTAGTACTGCTGCCCGAAATGGCGAGCCACGATGGAAATCACTTACCCGAGAAGACATGAAGGCCAACACCGTAGTTTTCACCAGTCACGCCGGTATCAAGACAGTGGATGTAGCCGAGGCCCTTGTAACCCAAGGGTACACGGACGTCGCCTCCGTCCAGATCACCAATTCCAACCTCACAAAGGTAACGTTATTATCTGCTACGCAGACTGACGCACTGCTGGGGCACGGGTTTTTTATCGGCGACAGCCATTTCTCTGTACGCCCTGCATTCACCAAACAACTACAACTCCATATCTTTGATGTCCCGATCTGGATCGAGAATACCGTTATCTGCAGTGCTTTGGCTGCATTTGGCCAGATCCAGGGAGACATCCGCCATGGTCAAATTCAAACCCCGTCGGGGATTACTGTAGGGACAGGTATGCGATTCGCCACCATCGAGCTGAAGGAGGGATGTCGGCAAGTTCCGTCATTTGTCCGCACAGCCGACCAGCACCAGTTTCGTGTCCGTCACGAGGACCAGAGGGCCACCTGCAGGATTTGCATGGGGGAGCACTTTGCTCGATCGTGTCCGAGCAAGCGGCCCATGAACAAACCACCCACAAATACACAGAGCACCAATTCGGCTGCACTCCCTGGATCACAACTGAGCT